TATATATATATATATATATATACATATACACACACACACACACAAACACACACACACACACACACACACACACACACACACACACACACACACACACACACACACACACATATATATATATATATATATATATATATATATATATATATATATATATATATATATATTAGGTGATACTAGCAATCTCCCAAAAAAAAATCTTCCCTTTCTTTCTGTCTCTTTATTTTTTTCCTTACTTTTAAGTAAAAACTCTATCCTCTCTCTCTCTCTCTCTCTCTCTAAGCACTTTAACTTTACTTTTTTGTTGCTTTCATTGTGTAAAGTCCCTACCATTTGTCTTTTATGTTGAGCTCCTTTCTAATGTTATGGTCCTTCATGAAAAGCTTTCCTTAGTTATTTTGACCCTTTAATTCTTCATCTGTTAAATCTCTCTTCTTTTTCCTTTTTTTGCTCCTCATGTTGATCCATCTTTGAGTTGAGGGCCCAACAATTTGGTGGCCAGTTTCCCCCCATGGATGACCTTCTTCGTGCATGGCTTCATCTGTCTCTTTCGTTAACAAGCAAAAGGCGTCCTGTAGAATACAACTCCTCAACCATCACCTGTCGGCCACCTTCTTCATCTCTCCCCTTCACTGCTAATTCTCAATATCAAGTAGCTTCTACTTTCAATCATGTATATATAGATACAGCAAATATATGTCATAGTAAACCATATATATATATATATATATATACAGATCAAGCCTTGTACTAATGCCATTTATCTTCCATGACCTGTGTGTGCCTAAGGAAGCTGTGGCTGTAAATACCTTGAAACATCCACAATGGATCCAAACAAATATTGATGACACAATATTCCATCTCTCTCTCTCTCTCTGGAGGAATGGTTCTCCGTGTTCCATTATTTAAGGCTGCTTAGATCTCCTGAAATGAACACGGTGGACTGGCTGCAACTCGAGTAGGGTTAGGACCAAACCTTAATCCAACCTCGATCCTAAAAGGAATGATCATGATCGGACAGTTTTACTGTGAGGAAAGGAAAGGAAAGGACGGTCATGATCGTTGAAATGGGTCATGAGGTTTCTGGAGATCATTTAGTATTTTTCTTGGCAGATAGCAGCAGTACTGCGTTCGTGCATGTCTTTATTACAGAAAAGAGGATTCTTTCAGGATGGCCCGATGGCTGTCATACTGCGTTCCTTATTACTGTTTGTGCATGCACCTGAGCGTTTGTGCATGTACCCGTCTTTCTTACAGAGTGGGCACACCACCTGAGCAGCATCACTGTTTGTGCATGCACTTGTCTTTGTTACAGAAAAGAGGATTCTTTCAGGGTGGCCCGATGGCTGCTGAACACCTCATACTGCGTTCCTTGTGCTGTGTTGTCCCTTCTGCAATGCTATTGTAGGGTCACTTCTCTCCTCCATTATCATCCCCCACCTTGAGCATGATTTCTGCAGCAGATTAAGGAAGCTTGGAAGAAAGCAGGACACGGAGATCTCATCCTATTACTGCATTCAAAGTGTTGTTGATTCTAGCTGTAACAGCAAAAGCACTGTGGTGTGACAAGAGTAGCTGCACTGTCTCTGTACTTATTATTGCCAATGAGAAAGCTCCAGTGCATAGTGGAACCATCAAATCTATCAATCATTAGAGACAGATTCATGGTGATGGATCCCAATTTCCATTATGAGACATAATTACTGTCAGGTCCTAAATCTTAGTGGTATTCATGTTATTGCGATCATGATCAAATTCATCGCCAGATAGGTGAACACTAAGCTTGCAAATCTAACATCTCATGCTGTCCCAAGTAGCAATCTTCTCTTGCATGTCATCCTTACGATTATTTTGATGACTCCAACTTTCTTAAACTTATCTGAATTGCTTGCATTCTCTCTGGCAGTAAAGTTGTCTGAAGCTTCTTTCAAGCCTGACGACCAGTCTTCGGTTCAATTCAAGAATCTGAATATAGACTATAATTTTGAGCAAGAAACTGCATTTATAAATATTAAATGAAAAAAGAAACATGAACATGAACATGTCACTGCTGGTTGTGCTCGCCGTCACCGGGGTTTTGGGTCTCGACACTACGAGGTCAGGTCGCCGTGCTCCCTGCCTTCTCCCCGTCATTACCGGCCTCATCAACTTTGTCCGTGAAGGAAGCGGCGCGGCTGGACATGGGGGTGGCAAGGAAGGTGGGCTTACGGTCGCCGGCCATGATGACGACGATGCTATCCTCGAAGAGCAGCGGGGGCTTGGCCTCGTCGCCGCCATCGATGGGGGCTTCCCCGTCACCGTCTGCTTCGCCGCCGGACTCGAGGTAGCCGGAGAGATGCCGGAAGGAGCAGAAGAGGACGAGGAGGGCGAACGCGATGAGACCCAGCATCGCCGCTAGCCCGCCGAACAGGTACGGAACTGGAGAGCGCCATGCCGAGGAGGCCGGGTACGGCGGTGTCGCCTCGGTGCCGGCGCCGCCTTTCGCGTCCCACCCTCCCCCAGGCCTCATTATGTATGTGTCCTCTGAATTGGGTGTGATATGGGGATCAGAAGGGAAGGAATGGAGAGTCCTTATAATACTTCATGTAATTAGTGGTTTAATTGTATCAAACTAATCGGATGCTTACATGTTATTTTGTTTATATATATATATATATATATATGATTCATGGAATGGAATGTAGTGAAGGGAACGGTGGTGGGCTGTCTTTTTGCCTCGTTATTGGTAGTTTGGTGTGAATTGATTTGAAGGGAATGCAGCAGGAAACACACCATCATCTCTTCCAGGTTCATCTTTCACAAGGCATGATGTATCTTTTACGTTTTCTTTCTTCGATGCTCGTTTGGTGATAAGGCATATTTACTGTATCTGATGTAAGAGGATGAGCTATATTAGAGTGAGTACACTTACCAATTTTATCCATCAACCAGAAATGAGAATGTTGGCATAGCAACAAAGTGAATAAATAAAAATGAAAGATATATGGAATTATATATTTATTTCCAACCTGCTTTTTGGACCATCAGTACATTATCTACTTTGCATTAAATATAAAGCCATGAATATACATGCATTTCCTATGTGTTATGTGGAGAAGTAATTGATTTGGGATAAGAAAACATGTATTGGAGAGGTAATGGATGATGATGAGAAGCGGTAAGCTCACCTCGTAGCAGATGCAAACACATCTGCATGGTTCCCCACCCCTGCCTCTTTCATTGAGCAGCGTCGTTCCCCACCCCGAAGGACACGAACAATAGAGACGCTTCCGGACGTGGATCCCATTACGATGAAACACCAGAAGGGAAATGCGACGTGACGCGAATGGTAACGCGAATTACGGCCCCACCTGAGTAGGTGGGACGCATCACATCTCCATCAACCGTAGCTGCATCACATGTATGAGTCATCACTATTGTGTACAAAAACCGACATGTCGCCAATTAGGTCCCCGCTTGTGTTTTTCTGACATATAAATAGATAATTTCGTTAGAAAATACTCATATTTTAAATTATTTTCAACTGATATCCTCATTTTATTTTAATTAAAAAATATCCAATCTATCCCTCAAAAAATTATTCACCTGTTTCAATTTTTTTATCTGTTATAATATTTTTAACCTTATTTTGATCATCATAACAAAAATAAAAATTTATTTAAAAATATTATAAATGATCTAAATAAACTTCAAATAACAATTAGACTGATTACAAATCTAAAAATATAATATTATAATGATCTATAATCAATTACAATAAAAAAGCACGATATGATGTCATTTATAATAAATTTATAATAATATTTATAAGTATTTTAATTATATTAAAAGAAAGATTCGTTGTTAAGAATATAAATAACTGACGCTGCACTTTAAGGCAGCTTATGTAAAATCTCTTCACGAGGAAGAATACATTCTCAAAGAGCAGAGAAGATAAAAAGACTTTTTGTGGCCAAAGTGATTTATAGGCAGAGAGATTCCATAGCATGTCAAAGCCTATTGAAACGAGTGATTCAAAGCACAGGTGTTTTTGTTCTTCCAAGTAACATGAACTTGGAATGATAACCTTCCCACAGCAAAGGAGACAATAACATGCAAAACTAAAGCAAGCTGATTAAAAGGAGACAGGTATAGACCTTCCCACAGCAAAGGAGACATTAACATGCAAAACTAAAGTGAGTTGATTAAAAGAAGCCATTAACATGCAAAACTAAAGCAAGTTGATTAAAAGGAGACAGGTATAAACTTTCCCACAGCAAAGGAGCCATTAACATGCAAAACTAAAGCGAGTTGATTAAAGGGACATTAACATGCAAAACTAAAGCGAGTTGATTAAAAGGACATTAACATGCAAAACTAAAGCAAGTTGATTAAAAGGAGCAGGTAAAGTTCTGGGTGTCAACTTCACATGTATGTACAATCCAGTGACACAAGAGAAACAGTGATTCTCCCAAAGCCTGCAAACTTCACATTCAACATATCTTTGACCTATTACAGTTGCATTAATTAGACTGCTTATAACATCCTAGAGAAACATTTACCATCTCACACATTCAGTTAAAAAAGCCATACAGAATTTGCCAATACAAAAGTTGAAGCTACATGGTCTCTGAAGTCTAACCTAGGGATGCTGGCACCAGCCAAATAACCCAACAATGGCATATAATCATTTACCCCTGGAAAGTAAAATGGAACACAAATTTAGGAAGATCACTGTAGTAATGACTCGAAAACATGGACAAGATATGATTTATTTACACTTACGTATTCATCATCAAGGTTATGTTGTCTCCCTTCAACAGAATCCTCCCTACACCAAAAAGAGTAGACTTAAAGGATCAATTAATAGAAACAAAAAAATGAAAGCAATAATCAGTAAGTTACATGACTAACCCAGTGGCTTTCTCGTTTTCTTCTTAACATTAACTTCTTCAGCTTCTTCCAGGACCAAATTCATGTATTCATCAAAGCCCTGCACAACAATCATGAACCGAGTGTTCAGAACTTCAGAAATTAAAACAAATGTGTGGCATTGCTTTTGTTATCAACATATATTTTTGTCCACCATCAGACAGGAGCCTTTTAAGACAACAGGTGAATATTTTGACTAGGAACACAATATTTATATTTACTATGACTTGAATAGTTTATTTACTACCAAAACAGATTAACACAGCACGTGAAACAAACGATGCATATCTGCATCATTGTCATCAACAGCCCAATCAGTCAAAACAACAGCCAGCCCTCACAGTAACAAGCACAATGTATCCTTCAATAATGGAGAATGAAGAGCACCAATGGCATATGCAGAAAATAGCTAAGGTGAAAATGACATGCAGACTCGAGCACACCATTAAACATTTGCTCATGACTGTTCAGTGATCACCGCTGACAGGTGAACAGTGAGATAAGAATGTCATAAGATCACTAGGACAACATAAGAAAGTAAAATCCAAACTCGTTGGGGATGACTAGATTATACTTTCTAGCCATTGAGCTTGGTTAAGAGCAGCAACACTAGCTGAGTAAGAGTATAATCACAAATATGAACAGAAGAGTTGGCAATGTATATTGGAAAGATTAATTAATGACAACTGAGGGAACTGTAATATCAAAGAATACGAACAGAAAAGACTGGAAGCTATATAGATAAATTAATAAAAAAAGTGACTAAGGTTTTTGAGGCACCAATGTTTAGCATTTGTTCTAAATTCCAACAAACCAAACATTAATCTCAAATGCATGCAATCTACAAAATTACCCATGAGAACTAGTAGATAGTCTCATCCGCAGCAACTAAAAGAAACAACAAGAACTAAACTGAGTTATTGTCCGCTGCTTACAAGATTACTACCGAAGGATACTAAAAGAGCTAATCTAGTCATGATGATTATCCAAGATTGACCTGCCACTGTATTGAATAAACAGAAAATATCTTTTAATGATAGACCTGCAACTCATGCAATTATATGTGATGAGTCTGATGACAATCTACCACACCATAACATGGGTATGTCTATGTCTTTCACATGCTGGAGACACATAATTATAGGTCCATATGGATTTAAAACAATAAATTACAACAAAATAAACAAGAATGGCTATAACCAAATGGCTTAAGATTTTAAGACATCGTAATATCCAAATACAGTATTTATCCCTTGCTCATGTGGTGTTCAAGACAACCTCCAATAGCAGATAAGCTAATGGCCCGTGAAGCTTGTTTTCCTTAATAATTAGCTAAGAGCCTTACATGAAGCTGATATAAAGTACCTCAACTTATATTATACACCACATGCTCAGTAAAAGAGAACTATTTTTCTCAAATTCCGACGGATTAATGTGGTAAATTTAAATCAGAAGCATGAACAGATTCAAATGCCTTTCCTATAGATTTCCCAGTTCATGATAATAATAAAACTTTAACCCTGATCATCTAAAAATCAGAAAAGTAAAACAAAGCACTTACTATGATACGCCCCTCGATCCTCAAATCCTTCTGCTCAAAGAGCCATATCTGGATGCGAGCTTTCTAAACCAACAGCCAAATATCAACCAGATCAGCAATCTAAACATTAGAATATCGCAAGAAAACGAAACAAATGAAACAACAATATATAGATTATTCATCGGAACTTACGCTTTGGAGGAACCTGAATATGAGATTCTGCAGCAATATGATCGGCACCCGTCCGAGACACAAAGCAAAGAATCGATAACATAAGTAGAGATGGAAATGAGATCAAGGGATGAAGAAGGAGGTAAGGAGACCGTACGATAGGCTGGGTCATAATCCGCTGGACTTTGGTGGACGCCATCGCTGCTTCTCCCTCGGAGTCGGACCTCTCTCTACCTTTCCCCTGTTCGCTTCCTCTCCCGACTCGACTGGTTTGAAACCCTAGGCTCCGTCGAGGACCGAAAGAAAGAGCGGCTTGTCGAGGGTTTACCAGGGCCGCGAGTGGATCTTTCTCCGCCGTTGGATTATGTGATCTCAAGTGGGCCGGGATATAGACATAATCACAACCGTTGATCATGGAGATTCAGAACTCACTCGTCCCCGTCTTCGTGAGTCGAGTCGGGGCGATGTTTCACACTCGTCTCGTAAGTCGTACGACAAATGACGCTGGGTGCATGTGGATTGTGGTCCAGATCCGACCCGTGTATGGTCCAAACAATGAACCCGATTCGTTTATTCGGCAACGGTAACGGATCCACTACTTAACGCCACCACTTCACGGGTCGTCGTTTTTGTTCGCCGCGCAACTCCAGGAAGCGATTAGAGATAACGAATCCCCCGAGCCAGAGGACGAGGAGAAAGAGAAATCCCTAAACGAGCAGATCCAGGGTTAGGGTTTTACCACACCCCAACAATGGCGGGCGCCGGCATGCACCCCTACCACCAGCAGTGGGTGCCTCCACCCGCTCCAGCTGTCGCGCCTCCCGTCCCCGTCGATGCCCCCAACCGCCCGCCCGCTGACGAGGTACGCCCTCTTCCCCGGCTGCCCTCATCCTTCTTCCCTTTGATCCGGTGGGGATCGCTGGCATATTGATGGTTCCCCCTTCCATCTCGAAGATTCGGACGGTCTTCATCACGGGCCTCCCCGGGGACGTGAAGGAGAGGGAGCTCCACAACCTGCTGAGGTGGTTGCCGGGCTTCGAGGCGTCACAGATCAACTTCAAGGCGGAGCAGCCCATGGGGTTCGCCCTCTTCTCCACGGCGCAGCATGCCATTGCCGCCAAAGACGCGCTTCAGGTGATCTCCGCAGCTCTCGTGGCCGGGTTATTTTGTTTCTTGATCTCGTCTCCGGCCTTGTTTGATGTCTGAGTTTATCTGCTCAGGACTTGGAGTTTGACGTTGAGATGAAGTCCGCCCTCCACACAGAGATGGCAAAGAAGAACCTTTTTGTCAAAAGAGGTGTGTTTTGCTCGCATACAGCGGCTTCGTTTCAATTATTAGAACATAATTAAATCGCAATCCTTTTATTTTTACCAATTACATAAATTAATTTAGAAAACTTAACGCATTTTTTAAGTGAAAGAGCCCTAGTAAACTATTTTACGTACATATACAAACTTAGTATACGCTCGACTTTGTCCCAAGATCTATCCCAAAACGACTCTCTGCATGAACCAAATACCATTTTTTACTTGCTTTCATATGCCATCTTAGGACTTTTTAGACATCATCTTGACATTCTTGATGCTTTTGATGAAACATACATGTTCATAATTTGTCTGGTTATGATGCTTGTTTTTACAATCTTGGTCCCTTATTTTTGTACAATTTAAGTGCATCTTGTATAATATAATTTCAGTTGGTGATTCTTTTAATAAGCACATGATTGTGCTGGAATTTACCGTTGCATTAGCTTATTTTGTAACTTAATTTGTTCTGAAAATTTATGATGTGAGAACACTATGGCTTTCTGCCTTTCTGCGCTTCTGCTTTTATTTAGGTTGTCTTTGATTTTTCATTGTGTAGGTGTGGCATCTGAGTCGAGTTCAATCGATCAAAGTAAACGTCTACGGACTGGTGGAGATTATACTCATGCAGGCTATGCAGCTCCACCATTTCATCCACAACCAACTCCTGTTTGGGGAAATCCAGGGTAATATAATGGATCATAATTAATTTTATTCAGACCTTTCTACATTTGTGTTTCTAAATAATCTCTGTCCTTAAATTCAAGTGGCTATATTGCCCCACATCCACCTCCACCATATGACCCATATGGAGGTTATCAAGTACCTCAGGTAGCCATGACCACCCCTCCTCCCCTGCCAGCTTCCAGTCGTTATGCCCCCGTTCAGGTAATATATATTGTTGTTCACCCAGAGTTCATCACTTTGTCAGAATGGATTTTTCAGTTAATTTAATTTGTTCATGGCTTTTGTCTTCATGATCATAATTGTATGGCTGTGTAATGCAACCCTAATGAGCATTTCCTGTTCATTATCCCGGTTGTTATTTTCAGTTTTGTGTTCCACGATGAATTCAATTGGTGTTATTGCTCTTAAATCTTGATAATGATTTTCAATCCTAAATTTGGTCTTTTTGTTGTGACATCAGTGATGATAAGATACCAAGTATTAAATAATGTACTAATTGTTTTTCATAATTATCAAGCTGGTTTCTTTGCAACATAAGGATAGAATCAGGGTTTGTGAAAAAGTGGAGCCGGATTGAACTAACAATGTATTTCATGCACATGCATTTGGGAACAAAAGATTTTTTTACCATTTAGAAGGATGCCTATAATGAAAATTTTGGTAGGGTACTAGAAATCCTATCTTAGATCTAGAATAAGTGAATGTGTAGTCTGATTCATGAAGTTTAAACCCTAAAAATCTAAATTAAGTGGATCCATGTGGCAATTTGATTGATGTTGCATCTACTCTGGAAGAAAAAAAATCCCACTGGCAATTCAGTTATGTGCACTACAGGTAAACTGGTGAAATGTTATGTGGATATTTTTTAAACTAGGAATGTCATGTTCACAACATCATAGCATGATTTACCTGTCCGCTACAAGTTGGAGTCAAAGATGTTTCCTTAAAATATCAAAAGTTTTCTATCTGATGTTTTTTTGGGCAAAATTTAAGATGATGAAGCTTTTTCAACATTTAACTGAGTTGTATCTCAGAAGAGTAGTTGAATTAGGACAATACAGACACATTCTCATGGTTCCGATGAAGTTCTTGAGCATTTTCATGAACCTGAGGCCAAAGACAATCTTGATTTTCTCATCTTTTCTATTTAGGCTTTATGTTTGGAGAATAGTATGAGATATTAGAGACCAATTGAATAGAAGAATTATCAAATTAATTTACAAATATCTAAATAAGGTGATGGTTGAGGAATTTTTGCTTGAACTATTGGTTCTGTTATTATTCTTTGCTGTCAAATCATTTCATTTGTATTGTGTGTTGTTGCCACTTGTTTTGAATTGGTTCAGTGATGAAAACAAGCCTTACGAAAACGACCAATCATGTAATGACAATATGCAAAATATTTTATCAAACAAAATCTGACAGACTTAATTGTCAACCTTAATGATTTATAGATTTGATTTTGTATTAACTCTTGAATTTAAGTTTGCACCATTTACTTGAATGCAGTCTATATGCCAAACATCATTGAATAACTGAGCCAAGAAAGATATGCAATGTTATTATTAGTAGAAACAATCACCTGTGCAGTAGTTTCATTATTTTGCCTGAGATTAAATTCGCAGATTGAATTTGGGTGCTAAAAGAAGTTGGTTACTGGAGACTTACTTTATCTCTGGAAGCTGATATTCTGCTATATTTTTTATGATGTGTTCCTGTTACCATTTTTTGGTTACCATAGTCTGGAAGCATATTTAGAGCATATGTGAAATTACCAGTGCAAGCTATCAGATACTCTTTACTTATTTCATGTCTTTCCTCTTTATTTTGCAGAATAATAAAGATAATCCTCCATGCAATACTCTCTTCATTGGAAATCTTGGTGAAAATGTAAATGAGGAAGAAGTCAGAGGCCTTTTCAGTGTGTATGAGTCCTAACCTTTATATACGTTTGCATCAATGTTAATAAAGGCTGTTGAGTCTCTATAAAGAATGATGTTTCGCAGATGCAGTAATATAGACACTTGTTAGATTTTATTGGCACTTGTATGTGAACTCTGGTCACCCTTTTTCGTTCCAATATGCAGTCAACCTGGTTTCAAGCAAATGAAAATCTTGCGGCAGGAGAGAAATACAGTTTGCTTCATTGAGTTTGAGGTAAGTGTGTAAACATGTTAAGACAATGACTGTAGCTTTAACTTGTCTCTTTGCTCTTTGCATCAACTTTGTCTAACTATTCTGTCTGTCTTCTCATTCAGGATCTGAATAGTGCTACGACTGTTCATCAGAATCTGCAGGGTGCGGTTCTTACTAGTTCTGGCCGCGGTGGCATGCGAATTCAATATCCTTTTTTCTTTACTACTTTTCATCAGTCGCTATTATCTAGTTGAGTACATGAATGGAGTTAGATTTTGTTGATCACATTTGAAATCTTGCTCTTTAATATGTTGTTTGAGTTGTAGTGGTGAGCTTTTCCTTCTTGGTTGTTCTCTTTGTTGTCGAATGATAGTGCCAATAGTAGTTAGTATAATTGCTTATAGCAATGTCCATTTTGGTGTTATGTTTTATAATTAGATACAACCTTCTTTGCCTGTTTCATTATCCCTTGATCTGCTTTTCTTGACTTTTCAAACATTTTCAAAGAACCCTTTTGGGCGACGGAAGGACTTCATCAATGGTGCTGCATCGGAACCTAACGGAGCTCCTACTTACCAGCAGTGACACAAAGGGATGTATTTTTGCTCTATTTGCTCAATCATGAAGATTATGGAACAGGAATGGATTGCATCATGGAAATTACACAAAAGTTATCATCAGCATCCTTGTGTGAATGAACCTGGTGATCATGAGTGTCATTATCATCTTTCGCAATGCACGAGTTCTCAAAAGGCATCATGATCTGTTGGTAATTGTGCATTGGCATCATCAACATGGATAATTGTTCATCTATATGCTGTTTACATTGTTCAGTATGATCTGCTATTTTATTATGCATCGGCATCAGTGAATTCTAGTTTATCTGTGCAGTTGAAGCACTATATTTGTCTAATGGACAATATGGTCGAAACCGACCATTCTTGCATTGCTATACAACTTGATCTTCAAGCAACTTGCTATTGCAATCTCATTGCATTGAAGGAAAGCTGCCAGAACTCATGTCATGTCATGGCATATCATAGCTTGGGACCATGGGCCATTACATTATCATCAATCCACATTCAGCAATTCATCATTCATGCTTTTGCTTAGCAGCATGAAACTGATCAATATGTTTTTTACCTCCAGGCTTGCATAAAGCCATTATTCGCAGGGTTTGGTGGTCTGTGTTTGTTTGCAGAATATTTTGAGATGGAGCACACTTCAGTGCTATGGTGGTCTTTGGAGATGGAGCTGAAAATGTCAAAAGTTGGTAAGTTTCCTGTGAAGTGTGGATGTCTACATCCCTGATGTAGCTGTAGCTACCATTCTAAGGTGACTTGACACTATGTGGAGATATAGAAATTGATAGGTTTGAACACATTTCAACTTAGTTAATTGGGCATTTATTGGAGCAAATTCTCAAAGTAGTCAAGCTCCATTGTTGGATGGATTCCAAGCTGCTGGAGTAGAGATAATAAGGCCTTCTTGATTGACTGTTGTGTTTTATTTTTTTTGTTTTATAGGATAAAGGCTAAGTCCATTTTAAACTCTGTGCCGGATTAGCCTATTTCCTCATAGCATAATATGGATAGGAATTTTCATTGGTGGGAAGCTGAATTTAGCTGGTTGCTTTATTATCATCATATGGCAATGCAATAATCAAAGTGTCTTTCTAACATAATAGGGGTGGGGGGGGGGGAGTAATTTGAAACTGGCCATGCTGCTATGCTATGCATTTGGTATGAAATAGACAGTCCGGATATGCATTAACAAGGGAAGGGATGGTAGGAAAAAGAGTGATGTGCAGGACTAATTTTATAGTGAGTGCAGGCAGTGTTTTCTTTGGACCTTTTGTCATGCTTGGTTCTGTACTTGCAGTATATTTTGGCAGACGAAGCACAGAATTGAGATCCACTAGCGGACAGCAGCATCGTTAAAAGATTGCAGTTACTCGTCCTGTCGTTCCCCATGTGGTGCCCGATAGTCTTAGGTAAGGTTTTTAAAAAGATTTTAAGGTGTTAATTAGTTTAATTAATAAAAAGTTTTAATAAATTATCATAAAAAAGATAAATTATCACAGGCTGTTGAACTTTGGATAAACCCTATCTTCCCTCCTTATAATCTATGCAGAGAATGGCTCTCCAAACCTGAAAGCGATCCCAGTAATTATGTTTGGATGGCAAGAAAGAAATTATTAGAAAGCAGTTAGGATCAGATGCCAAATGTTACAAACCAATCAATCATGAAGGGCGTTGACAATTGAAGAAATTTTGCTCACTGCATTGAATCTGATCAGAATCATCAAAACCTAGCAAACACCACCGGCAATAATAATGTGGCAACAAAGAATAGAAAAACAATCCATAATTTGCAAATTGCAGATTTGAGTTCATAAGAAGGTAAATTCCAAAACAGCCCAAAGGCAAATACTGGTTTAACAACTTGTTTTAAACTTTATTCCCTGCAAGCTGAAAAAAGTCAAACATTACACGAACCACTTAGCTGTAGTTGGAGCGACCTTCATGCAATCATCAAACTGTCTTCATCTCATTTCATGCTTCAGGTGAATCGGAACGGATGGCTGATGAGCAAAGAAACAAATTAGCATAAAAACAAAATTTTCTACAACATAAATTAAAATTTAAAACCAAAACACCAAGTATAGCATACTCGGATGGTAAAAAAAAATATGCCATGTAATTAACTTTTGGACTAATTTGGCAGACAGATGCCAAATGCACCTTGGAAGTTAGCTGACCTAAACTTTTGAAGCCACGTGTGCTGCAACATTCATCATAAAAATTTGACATAATTCATATAGGATATTGAGTTCTCTCTTAAGGAAGTGATTTTGAAGTTCTGTAAGTTGGAATTACAAAGAAACATCAATAACAGAAGAAACCAAAGAATATAAGATCTCTGATCTTGCAGCAAGGAAGTTAGCAAGGAGGTCAATCGACTAAGATTAATAAGCACGGTGGTCTTTGGGATTCAACTCATGAAAAGGAAATCAGTTGCAGTTTATCCTTGATCAGTAAGACCGGTCATACTTCACACAGGAGTATATGTAAGCCTGGTTCTGAAAGATGCTATCACTTAACTTTACAAATACACTTGATATGACATGCGAACAACATCAATGAATTAGATGGGTGTATATTCTGTTTCTCTTAAATCAAGAGCTGATCAGTAACTATGCTCCTAAACAAAGTGTTCATAGAATTCAAATAACTTTAGATATGAGTATCATGCAAGATATCATAATACTCGTACAGATTGCTTCCAAGAACGAAAAGGTATTATGAAAGATATCTTATCCATTCAGTAACAATTTTAAGGACAGAGAAATGGCACAGTAAGATATGAGTACTTCTCAGAAAGGATCCTAGAGAATATACAACTTGTGAAACCATAGAAATAACTAGTCTGATGGCACGCATCAAGAATGACCTTAACTCAAGAAAATCAAATATAGCACTTACTCATGTCCATGATTTTCAAGTATGGCAACCATCAAGAAGACCTTAACTTAAGATAATAAAATCCAGCACTTATTCATGTCCATGATTTTCAAGTAAATGGGAATCACATTACCATATAGAAGATTTTGGGCTAGAACATCTACAAAAGGAGAAAACCAAAGCGACTGTTTAAGCAGTAAGGTCATGGTGTTGACATGAGACTACTACAAAACAATACTAGTCCAATCACATTACTGTACAGAAGATTTTGGGCAACAACATCTACAAAGGGAGAAAACCAAAGCCACTGTTTAAGCAGTAAGGTCATGGTGTTGACATGAGACTACTGCAAAACAATACTAGTCTGACTATTTCTTGCTCCATCTGATTAATAGGTTTATTGAACCCTCTCTGATGTCAAAATCATGTCACTGAAAACATTCGGTATTCACCGGTGATTTACTTGGATTGAGAGACAAGAGAGCAACCTCCAGATCCTCTTTTCTTACCAAGAGAGAAACTGTAGAATTTTGTCATCTTCACAAAGTATAACCCTTTATGCGGATTTGGTTCCTGGAGGATTTCCAGAATGACCCTAGAATCCAAACACTAAATAAATTCATGTTATGGGCTAAGATATGATTTGATGACTAATACAGCAAATAGAGTAGCATACTCAGTGAAGTCTTTCATTGTCAACTCTTAGCTATGACATTGTATTGGGACATGAAGGACTTTAAGCCTACAATGAGAAGAAAGTAATTGATGCAGTAGTCTCTCATGATTGAGGATGCAAATGTTCCTTTCAGATCAACATGATTGATTCCATGAGCAAGTACTGAGCTTTGAACCTATTATTGTTATCACATCTGAGTTTAGTCCCACATTATAAGTGGAAATGCGGAAAACACAAGTAAGTTTATAAGAGTTTTATGGGTGTGCCAACATTAACTTCGGCTTACACATCCTAAGTCATACGCTGGAAGTGAAAGAAGACTTAGGATAGCTTCTAAAAACTTGATGGATATACTAAGATTAACTTCGACCTAAGCATCCTGAGATAGTGGTCCAGTTCAGGCTCAACAAAGTTAATAGGTCAATAGCGTCGAGTCATGATGGTTGCTCTAATCTTCTGTATCACACATATAGAAATTCATTATTGCCACTTTATAGGGTCAAATGCATGATTACTCAAGTTGGCTCACAGATACAGGATAATGCTTCTACTTACCATCATTCTCGACCGCAGGCAAATATATTGATAAAGAATGATGCTATGGACAATATAAGCAAAATTATTTTTCTCTAATTCCACAATATAAGGAGGAACAAGAAAAAGAAAAGAAGTGGATCATCCACACCCAAAGGGCAGCAAGACTGCGATCTAAAAATATTAGGGCACTTGATAACGTTTCCACCACCTCCAATCCGACAGTCTAATCTGACATCTAAAGATCATAGACAACCAAATACCTAAATCCATAATTGATCGTGCCCGTCAGTTAATCCGTCATGAGCAAATCGAGATCCCAAACACACAATGCAGAAGCCCGATGACCAGACGAAGGCTTGAAGAAGGAATCAAGGAAACAAAAAATACTATACAGAAGCATGTAACCCACTAAATCCCCCAAAAAAATTCCAATCGCCACGTTGTAGCCAATGGTATCGTTTCAAAAGACAATACGAAAAAGGCATGATCTTTCTCCTAAAACGAAACCCTAAAACAACCGATTTGACTCTTACGAGAGCTTCGGCATAGTAGCGAAATCCATAATGAGGGATTAGCCTTAGATCAGAGAAGGGGCGACTCACAGGGCTTCTCGGGCTTGCCGTCGGCCCACTTGGAGACGATGAAGTGGACCTTCTCCCGGGAGACGGCCTCCGATCGGTAGGGCTCCTTGAGGCAGCCCCGCACGAGGGAGGCGCAGATGTTGGAGTAGGTGATGTACGTCATTCCCGCCGCCCTCCAGAACGGCACCGCCGCCGCTGTGCTCGCCATCGCCTCCTCCTCTCTCTTCTTTTCCCACACAACAGTTCTCCTCTTTGGGGCATCTGCGATTAGCTTAATTAACAGTTGAGGACATTTATGTCATTTCATGCAAGTCCTGGACGGGCCGGACTACTTGAGTGGAGGTAGAGTGGGCCTAGAAAAGGCCCATTAAAGGGCCCAAATTGCTGTAATGTGTGTTAGCGTTGCGTGGAAAAAAAAAATAAAAACACTTTTAAAAAATAAATTACCAAATTTACAGCTCAGCATCTTATTATGATCTCACAAAATTGTCAGAAATTTCACCACTTACCCTTTACTAATAATAATAATAATAATAATAATAATAATAATAATAATAATAATAATAATGATTATTCCTATAATATTGATGGTTTTTATTTTTTATTTTCCTTCCAAAGTAGTATGGAAATAACTTCATTGCTTATTGTTTAATTTATTTTTTATAGTGACGTTACTATCTCTTTGTTGGATAAAAAATTAATATGCATTAAAAATAATAATAAATCAGATTCATGAGGTTCTTTTGTAAACCCTAACTGGTTGTCCTTCTTTGTGGAAACTTTTTTGATAATGTGATTTATGCCAATGATCTCAGCAGCCGCATGTGTTTTTTGCCACAGTACTGTGCTTCTTTTCCTTGGGAGTTTGTGGAAGTGGACTCATTGCTTTGAGGGTGCCTTTGATGGCTCCTTTTACCAAGAAAAGTTGCTGCTGACTTCTATATATTTCTTTGGCTTTGCGTGGCTGCGTCAAAAGCTACTTTTGTTGATCTCTCTCCTGTGTGGAAAGGCTCCACACCATGTTTCTCTTGGCTGAGATATAGAGTGAGCAAGGCTTAGTGATCCATGCATGCTTGTAGTAGGACTCCCTACTGTTCATACTGATAGGAGATTTGCTGTCGCATCTTAATTTGATGCACAAGCTGCATGCTCAGACTGTGGTCTGAGTTGGAATGATGCATGCATGAAGCGTCGTGTTCAGAATTCTCTCTCTCTCTCTCTCTCTGTGCCTAAATAAGTCTGATAAAGAGTGAGAAACAAGTCTGACAAATGCTGAACATGAGGCATGCTTTCCGGTAAAGGTTCGTGTCAAGATGAGTGGTCGTCGACCTCATGTATGTAGACAACCAGCTCTAGAGAATGATGATGGCAACTCTACCGCCAAACACTGTAGACATGGCAGACTGACCATCTTTGACAGCACTTGAGCTTTCATGAGAAAAAGGAGCAGACCGCAATCACTGTCTCTTTTGTACGTGTTTGTAGGTGACTTCTGAGCCCATCTCTCATGCTCTGATCTCATCATATGTGCCACAATAATATATGTGGAATAGCTGAGGGAGATATGGCTGCAACGAGAGGAAACAGGTGGTAGGCAAAAAGGCAATGAATGGAGGCACATGCATCACTGTTGCCGGAGGACCCTCTCCTCCCTTCGAGCTTCTCGAGAAGTGCAAATGACTTGTCTTCTTCTGAAGCATCGATCTTTAGACACCTGTGAATGAATGAGCCGTGTGCCAATTCCCTTTCTTTTCTATCTATCTAACCTGAGGCAACTTTTGAGCAGGCCATGCATTTAATCTGCTGCCTCTTTTATCTTTCTTGACAGATGAATTCACACGACACATCCCTCGCCGGTGGGTGGGGTTGAATTTAATGGAGGCCCGCCGGTTTAATGCTTTGCTTACAGGGAAAGGGTGTGTCCTCCATTGGAGTCAGCACAAAAGGTGTTCGAGAGTTGTCTCTTGGCATTCCTGGCAGCAGGCAGAGATTGCATGAAACATGCAGCCAACGCCTTCTGCCACTGCATTTAAAATAAGTGGCCTATCTTCTTCCCCCTCGGTCACTGCTTCTCGGTGGAGAAGGCACCTCCACGTTGTATTCCTGAAACTACTAATTGTTGCTGCACCAATTGGAACACACACACACATTCTACTAATTATAATGTTAGACACGACATATGACTGCAGCATTACATGTAACATACACAACAACAAGAGAATCCTATATCAGTGCTGATGTCAAACAAAAGATCGGATAAGAATATGATTTAGATCGATGAACATGTTATAAACAGCCTCAAGATTCTAACTTGTTTGGGTTTTGAAGCCTCAGTATCCCAGCAGCATCCTAAGAGAAAAAACAATAGGAAGCACTGTGTGATGTTCATGTTGTCCACAACCCATCGACGGCAATTGCCACCGACGTCGGCAGCCACTCACGGTCGCCGGGACTCTTTGCTGGGCCCCCTTTCACCACCGATAGCCTGACGACCACCACGCCGTCGTCTGCTTGCAGATTACACTTCAGTTGCCTCAAGTTGGGTATTAGCACCCTTTCGGACCATTCGTCGAATGCTGCTCCCGCGAGCCATACGCCCGCGACGATCCGGTCGACGGCGTCCTCGTCGACCTTTATGGAGCATCCGTCGCCCATTACGGTGGCAAATTTCGTCGATATTGAGTCTGATACGGTCCTTCTCAGAGGGCTGAAGTCCACAGGATTGAACATTATGGTATTCTCCACCAATTCCATCCACTGGGAGGCAGAGGACGACGTCGAACACTTGACGGCCAGCCTTCCATTCTCATGTTCGTGCTCGGTGGTGAGGTCGCTTGAGTTCCATGAGCCCTCTCCGGCTGCGTCCTCCATAGCTACTGCCAAGTTCAAGTCCAGCGATAAGCCTACGCCACACGACGACTGCTTCCTCAGTTTCGTTGGTTGATCACCATTGCCGAGCCAATCGGCACAACGCTTTCCGGGGTTCTTCTCAGCTGAGAGCTCCAGTTGCCACCCATGACCGACGGAGTGCAAGATCTTCTCCTCTAGAAGGATGAGGGATTCATGGCGGCTCTTGAGCTCTTCCGGCAACCAACTCGAAGTGAGGACGAAGATGACACTCCCCAAGCTGACCTCCCGGCCGTACGAGTCGAGCAGTCGACCCCGTTCCATGGCCCGCTTGATGCCTCCCTGCACGACCCCATCTGCCTGATCTATATCCTCGAGCACGACCACCGAGAACGGGTTCCGGCGCACAGCCTCCGACACACGATCCATCGGAGTCCTTCCACGCGAGACCATGTTCGACTCTCCATCGTCTCCATTAGAGCATGTTGAAGTGCCACCGAAACGAACTATGGTCGGGGCAGTCCCGAATAAGGTCTCCGACAGCGCGGTGGCCATCGTCCTCTTACCAACCTTGTCGGGGCCGATGAGAAGAAGCCAAGTGTCGCCTTTAGCACCGCCGCCTGGCCGCTTCCAGTTCTCGGGTTTGGAGTGCATCAGAGCAGTAGCAATGGCGGAAGCTGCTTCCTGTTGCCAGCCAACCTTCTCGGTGAGCCCCTTCAACAGCCGCTTGAAGGCATCTTTCTCCGAGATGCCGGTGACTTTGGCCCTCTGCTGGATCGAGAATCCATCCTGCGTGCACTCAGTGAAGTCCTTGACGCGCTCTGCATGGGTCTTCTCCAACAGAGCGTTTGAGGCTCTCGAGTTCCCGAGGACCAGATCAGTCTTCACCGGGCTCCGAGGAAGGCTACATGGCTGCTCACTTGATGCGTTCAGCATAATCTTTCTCCGGTGGACGAGGTTTCGAAACAGTGTTAAGTCCGAATCAGGCTGGGGAGAGCCAAGGAGCACCGTATGAGAGAAGCTGGGGTGAAGGCGAGAGCACGTGTCCTGCCATTTCTTGAGCAGCTCCTCCGTGCTCTGCTTCCCCATCAGCTCTTGTTCCTCTTCCTTCGCCTGACACAAACACGATTCAGATCAAAGAAATTTTAGCTTTCAGGAAACACTACCGTGCTTCGACTATGGAATGTGTATCTGTAAACAAAATGAGACCTGAAGAAGACTAGTTGATGGTTTCGTGCCACCTCCATCGCTAAGCTTAGCAAGCTGCAGCCACTTCGGCAATGCCTTGTTGTCTTCAACCTTGGAAGGCGATTTCTTGATTTCCTCGGTGACAAGCCTGGCCAGTTGATGCTTGTAGCTCTCCATGCAGACAGAGCACAGGATTTTACCTGAAGAATCTGCGCCATCGGGAGGTTGACTTCTGGTTATAGCAACGGCAGCGGAGCTGCTAAGATTACCAATGACCCCAAGCCTACAATTCGAATCAATAAAAGAATGGTTGATGCTTGATACCAAAAGTGTTGTCCGCAAAATGAGATCTAAGGAAGGCATTTAATCCATTCCAAGAAAAAAACACTGAAATCTATCAGCTCCTTTTCCAATTGAATGGCAGCGTATTGTGCAATCCAAATAGAGAACAAAATCAAGACACCAGCAAGAACTTAGCAGCGAATACTGCTAACAAGAAAGGGAAAAAGATCTCACTTTGGGAATGTACGCGGCCGTGAAGCGATCGGCAGCACCTGCAGATCCCAATCATTCTCCATCGCCGGGTAGTAGACCTGGCACCGGAGGTACGTCACGCTCGTCGCCGTGCCAACCAGCCACAGCCGACCGTGGTCTTCAAACCTCTTCACAAGCTTCCCCATCTCCGCCACCACCACACGGCCGACCTCGCAAACGATCTGCCTCGTCTGAGACCCAGCCGAAGCTATTGAAGCCCCGCCGGGGCTCTCCACCAGCCAGCTGAGGTCTCCGAGATCAAGAACCACGCCATGGCCCCGGCTCATCTCGGACTCGATGGAGGCGCCCAACTCTCTGATCCATGCGGGGATCCAGGACAGGTCGCTAGCAACGGCGGCTGTGGCCAGTTGCTTCGCGAAGGAGACGACTTGGGCTGTTTGGAGTGGCGGCGGTGCGTCGCCAGATTCGATCTTCTGTAGTACCTCCTTCATGACTGCGTCCGGATGCGAGTCACCGACAAGGACCGGATTCCGTTTCTCGGATCTCAGCAGAATGTCCATCACCCTCTTCACCTCCTCTCTCCGGGGTTCCTCTAGGCCACCTCCGGCGGTGGCGCCACTGCTGTGTCGGTGCTGGTAGAAGCGGGGATTCATGTAGAGGTTGCGGGCGGGGGAGGCATGGATGCTTAAATTGTGACTGAGACCGCCGCCGAGGGAGGAAGCGAAGATAGCAGGGGAAGCAGGGGAAGTGAAGGTTGAAGCGGGGGCGGTGGTGGAGGAGGATGACGAGGAAGAGGACAGGGATTGCTCGACGACAGCCTTCACAGCGGTGGAAGAGAAGCTGGCCTCGCGCATAACGCGGCTGACGGAGGGGTCGTCGAGAATGGAGATGACGAGCTGCGCGAGCTTGACCTTGACAGCGAGGAGCGGCGTCTGCTGCTGCTCCGGGCATCCACGGCGCTGGTGCGCCTGGGCACGCTTGAGCGCCGCCTTGAGCGCGTTAGACATCGGCGGCTCAGCAGTCGAGTCGGCGCCGCTGCCGCCGCCCCCGCCTGAGGAGGAGGAGGAGCAAGGAAGGCGGTCCAGGGCAACGGAGAAGCAGAGATCGAGGGCGCGGCATCGGAGAGGGTGGACCGTGTCAGAGAGTGAGCTGACGCAGGCCCGCCGGAGTAGACCGGAGGAGGCAGCGACAAGGGTGGCAGCCACGTGGAGAGGGGTGGTCTGCCCGTGCTTCCGCCGCGCTGCCTCCTCGACAGAGCGGGTCAGAACGCTTGCCGCCTCCGGCGTCAGCGTCTGCAGGATTGCGCTCAGCCCTCCCCTCATCCTTCTCTCTCTCTTCCTCTCTTCTAACAGATAAAAATCTCACCTATAAAAGCTGACAACCGATAAAAATCTCACCTTTCCAAGCTTACTGACATCGAATCTGAAGAAACCCCGCAAAAACACAACTTTTCTCAATCGAAACAAGAAGAAGAACGAGATGAACAGCGAGCCGCCGAGGAAAACAATTCCCTTTCGACTTGATTCCCTTCTGCCACAAAAGAACAGGACTCAACGTAAAAGCCAAGGCCACTGTAGCTAACGCCCGAGGGGAAAGATGACACCTTTGGAAGAGAACGGAGAACAAGAAACCCAAGAGTTTTAGGTTGTTCACTCTCTCTCTCTCTCTCTCTCTCTCTCTTCTCTCT